CCTTAATTAAAATATGTAACAAAAAAAAAAAAAAAGATTAATTCCAATGAATTTCATGAAATATTTCATATATAGACATATATAAAATATTTTTCATATAAAATAATTATTATTATTGTGAATTATTATTATTTTTACTATTAATATCATATATATAAAATGTCATATATAAAAATGTGGAAACATTCGTTAATTGGAAATAGAATTGGCATTATATAAATCGAAGTAACATATGTCAAAGAAAATGTGTTAAATATCATAGTATATATATATATATAGTATAGTTTATTATTTTATTTTTTTTTTATTGTTCAATATAATTCAATATAATTTTTTATTGATAAAAGAAATATTTGTTATATTCAACACATTTTTTTTCGACATATTGTTTGAACTTGTTTGTCCTCGGTCAGATATATAACCTATACTACCACGGCTCGACTATACATAATTGATCAGTGTTTTTTGATAATAATTTATTAACAAAATCATAACGAAAGTTTTTACAAAAAAAAATTATCTTATCCTATCTCTATAGAAATGGTTATCTTCATTTAATGAATGTTTTTTGGGATATTCAATATATTTAACATAATACTGTACAAATCATTAAAATATTTGTTAACATTATTATATAAAAAAAATATAAAATAATTAAGAATAAATTATATAAATATATATATAAATATGCATTATTTATTGTTTAAAATATTTATTTAATTTTTATTAAAAATTAAATGTACCTGAAATTTTTATTTAAGATATTAGAAGACAATAAATTTGTATATTGCATAATATTTTTATTATTAAAATTTGATATGTTAGATTTTTCTTTCATTATATTGTTAACATGATTAAATTGTTTGTTATGTAATGATTGTATAATATTTGTATGATTTGTATCCTTTTTAAATCTTTTAATAATATTTTTAGTTTCTTCATCAATTATTGATCTTTTTTTTTTTATTAAATTCATATTATAATAATTGGTATTTGGTTTATGATTTTCTTTAGAATGTCTAAATTTAAAAAAATAATTAAAAATTATAACTAAAATATAGAAAATATGAAATAATAAAATTTTTCTTACAATATTAGTTTTTTATCAATTTCTAATTCCATTTTTTTAAAAAATTGATCATCATCATCTATGAATATAATGGTTGAAGCATTTGATTTCTTATTTAAATTATGTCTAGTAATATTATCAGAACATATGATTCCTATAACCAAATATGAAAATAAGATTTAATTTTTATAAAATTAAATTAAATTTTAAATGTATTAATTACAATAAAAATTATAAATTAAAATTTTAATTACTTGAACTCAGTTTTTTTAAATCCATTACATGATTTTCTTTATTAATCATAGTAGTAGTATTATATATTTTAATACTACTTACAATTTGCATATACTATGTAGAGATAAAACGAAAATGCATATTTACTCAAAAAAAGTATGACTTTGATTGGTTATTTCTAATAGATCCAATATTTAAAAATAATATGAGTCAAAAGTCAGATTGCATAGTAATATGATAATGAATATTTAATTAAAATTTAATTAAAATAGTTTTAAATATAATTAAATA